CATATTTTAAAGCAATTAATTTATATATATATATATATATATATATTATAAATTAATTGATTTAAAAATATGGTCAAAATACATACATACATACATACATACATACATATATATATATATATATATATATATATATATATATATATATATATATAATTAAACTTAAAGAGCGGATCGTCCGGGATTACAGCAAGTAATCCCTGACGATCCGCGTAAATGAAACTTTTGGTAGGCTCTTTAGGTTTAATTAGGTTTGCTCTACTTAGCCTATTGAGCACTTTACTTATTAGTATCGGTTTTTTTTTTATCTTTCGACTCTGAACTTGGATGCTAGACGATTGTCTTCGACTGACGTACATGTTCTCTGTTCCTTCGTTTTTGTACCTTTTTTTCCCTTGGGTATTGATCTGTTTATTTACATATCAAAGTACCCAAGGTTTTCCGGACGAGTATAATTTCTTATATTTATAAGATTATTACTATCCATCTCATAATATAGTTTAATAAGTAAATAAAAATAGAGCATCTATTCAAATATATGTATCCATTAAAAATAATGTTTACGCAATATATTTATTTATTTTAATCACTTCATCCCAAGCAAGGCGATAATGTCACTAAGACGCAGTGTGTTGCAGGGAGTGAAAAAGAATTAGTGAGTAGAAGTAAGGAAAAGAACAGTAAAATATCAAGATTTATGATAACAGAAGATGGCGATTGACGTTGCATTTAAATTGTTGAAGATTGTATTTATCAGAGAAGTGTGTAAATGGAAGGGAGTTCTACAGACGAGAAGTACGAGAAAAGAAACTTAGAGTAGAAGTAGCGGTTACATTTAACTATTTCAACAGTAAATGGGTGGGACCTAGATGCCAACCTAGTAGCACGCTTAAATTTATATAGTCAAGACCAGCAGGGCAAAAAAGCTCATCAGAGAAATGCCGTGAAAATAGTTGTAGAAAAGACAGAGGGAAGTCATATGATGTATGTGAGAATGTGACTGAAGTCGAGATGCCAAGTCAGGATTGATTACATTGCAAATCCTAGTTTTCCTGTTTATTCATCGCCCCTGGTAGATATTCAGGATTTTTTTTTATTTGAATCATTTCACTTGAAGGAAGGCAACAATTCCATTACGACGCAGAGGGTGGGTACAGGGAGTAAAAGAGAATGAGAATACTTTAGTGAGGTGAAATTACGATAGGACAACAGAGTAACATGTTTAAGTAAGACAGGAGATGGCGGTTAACGTTGCATTTAAATGTTTGAAGTCTGTAGTTATCAGGGAAGCAAGAAATTCGGGAGGGAGTTTCACAGGCGAGAAGTGCGAGAAAATTAGAATTCACCCCAGCTTCCGATGCGTTGTCGATTCTATGATTTTTGCTGACTAAATAATTGTCTTGAACGAATAATTATTCAAGAGGATATTCAAGATGATTTCCAAAGACAATGAATATATTTTTTGCTTTTTGTTAACACCTTTTTAATTCATAAACCGTACTGTCTGAAATGGTTTATTTTGACGTTAATTTTTATGGATCAATTCAATTTAAAAAAAAAAACCCGTTCAACTTGAAGTTAAATATCTTTGAAAGAAAAGAGAAAAAAATCGAACATTATGTTATAAGTCTATCTATGGTTTTTATAATGAAACAACTTTAAAGCTATTATAGCGAATAAGCTACACGACATTCTTTTGAACATAATATTGTTTGTTATTTAGACTTCGTATTATTAAACAAGATATTCTATTCTTTTTACGGCCGGGGTAAAATAACTGTTCTTATGATGCACTGATATTGATTTAAAATATCTAATAATTTATTGATAATATATAAGAAAATAATAGCAGAAATGAAACGTGTGTGCACTGTCAAAAAGTATTTATCATTCACTCTGCTGAAAACTTTCACGATAAAGTATTAATAATTATAGTTTCTTTGAGAAAAAAAGAATGACTATTAATCGTAATTGTAATACCTTGTAATAATATCAGCAAAAATAAGGAGATTGTTTCAGAGAAATTGATACGCAGACAAGATTTATACTTTTTTAAGCGTAATTATTTCTTGTATCGAAGTAAATTGCACTTACCTATAATTTTGGTTGTGGAATGTATTTTTAAAAGCTTTCGCGAGATTCAAAAGTTGTTTCCCTTTGTTTTAGCTGCTCTCATTTGCATTTATCTTGTTTTGTTTCATAAACAAAAGGACAGCTGTCGTTTGTTTATTCACATCAGTCCTCTAGTAAGACTAATAATTGTTTCCGCCATCTTAGTTTTGCTATTAAGTAACGCAAAAACATAATATCTCCTTGATGTTGTCATAAGTAATAATTGAAGCGAGGAATATGAATAGGAAGAGACCTTCTTAAAAAAAAAGAGGGCAACAAGCGATTAATGGCAGAAAATGCAGAGTGGACATAAAAACAAAAAAACTAAACGAAAAGGAAGAAAAAATAAGACGCAAGCAAATGATAAAATTACTGCACAGAGAAAGGTGGAAATTAGCGGAAGAATGCATTTTAAAGCAAATTATAGAAAAAAGTATCATTACCATCGCTTTCATACACCGAAATAATTGTAATTGCTTACATAGAGATTTTTTGTTTTTGTTTAAATTTATTTATGTATTCTCCCAATTTTCTGCATTGAATTTAAGGTAAATCCTCATCTTATTTTCAGAAGGGCTCGAAAGGAAAATATTCATATAGCTTTTTCTGGAATTAATTTAAGATAAATACTTATCCAATTTTTCAGAATGAGTTGAAAGTAATCTAATTCTTTCTTTCAACCGAGAAACGCCAACTTAGCGGGAAAAGTATTAAAAGTTTATTATTTAAAACACACACACACACACACACACACACACACACACACACACACACACACACACACACACACACACACACACACTTCTTTCTTTCGTTTTTGAGATGATGAAGTTTATCTTCAACGAAACGTTTTTCCATAGATCATATTCTTCAAATTTTGTCTGGGTTTCGTATTTTGCACATATACACACACACACACAGACACACACACACACACACACATACTTGTGCAAATTAATTGAAACAAAACGAATAATTCCGTTATTACTTACTTTTTCTTTTGTATTTTCCCAATGAAACATGACCCAGTGCACATGTTAGTACTTCATATGTCCATTCCACGAAGTTGTTCCTTGCAGATTGTCCACAGATTCTCTATTGGATGTAAATCAGGAGATTTTCCGGTCCAGTCTATAGTAATTTGATTTGCTCACTGGTAACGTTTGCCAGTTTCTTCGCACAGCGTTGCAATTTTCGTGTGCTTTGTTGTAGTAACGTCCATAGAAGACAAGATCTTTAGGACAACTAATCAACAGTCGAGACAATATTGTCTGGACGTGATAAAAATGTGATGCAATCAAAGATGACATAATATTTTTCTAGAACAAATTTCATCATACCCCTGGAAAACAGATTCATATTACTGCAGACCACTGCAAATGACCTAATCTAAGGAAAAAATAAAAATCGATTACATTCTGTCAAATATCTGGGTTAAAACTGACCGTATGGGGAAAGAAAGGAAACTAAAGCGGTTGTTTCAATTAATTTTCACAACGGTGTATATACAGACTCGACCTTAATGAAGCCATGGAATCGGGGATGAACGTGATTTCTAAATTTCTTAATGTTTAATATTTAAAGCTCTGCACGTTCAATGTTATTGAATTGTCTAGTTTTTAATACAACGTCCTTTGGCCGGATCCAATTCTGACCAACAACCGGATATATATATATATATATATATATATATATATATATATATATATATATATATATTATAAGTGCAATTTTAATTTATAATTACATTAATCATTCATACAAAAAAAAAAACAAATATAGGGTTAATGATTTAAATGGCGAGAATACATCTTCGCAAACAATATCAAGATACGCCAACCCGAACCTGTATATGATATCCCTGTTTATAAATTCCAGTTGCATAAGGTCTTTTTAAATTTTTACAAGCTTTCGTCTGTTCCTACATACATCCTCAGGTATGGAAATAGATTTGACCTTATGCAACTGGAATTTATAAACAGGGACCATATCATTCATATACAGGTTCGGGGTTGGTGTATCTTATTGATATTGTTTGCGAAGAAGAATTCTCCTCGCCATTTAAATCATTAACCTCTATATTTGTTTTTTTTTGTATGAATGATTCATATATATATATATATATATATATATATATATATATATATATATATATATATATATATATATTTCAGCACGATTTCAGGTGTTAGGTAGAGTCTCTACCCAACACCTAAAAGATTGGGTTGAGCATGAAACTCCGAGTCGTGCTACAGCTGAGGGATGTATATTTATTAATATATACTTAATAGCACTATTATATCACATCGAGCACTATTTTATTAACATCAGTACTCTATGTTCGATATCATATGCAGGGTGTTGCAGCAAAACTAGACACTTTACAAAACGAAATAGTCAATAAAAACAAAAATTGTATATGCAGAGACCCAACAGTTTATTTAGCAACAGTTAGAGTTACATACTAGATTATTTTTTTAATGTAAACGCCGCTGGCGGCGACGACCATCTGAAAGCGGGCGACCATGTCCTTGTCCACAGCGGCGAACGCCTCCACGATGGCATCCTTCAGAGAGTCGACCGTGTTGTGGGCGTGCTTGTTGGTCTTGGCCTCAATCCCGCCCCAGAAGAAATAGTCAGGTGAGGAGGGAGGCCACAAGTCCGGCGACCAGTGTTAAGGAACATTGTTGAGCAGCCACGCATGGGTTGTCTTGGCCTTGTGTGCAGGAGCGGGACCCTGCTGGAAGACATAGGGTTCGTTCGGCGGCGATCTCGTCCATCCAGGACTTCACCAGGCTCCTCAGCACCTCCTGGTAGATCTCGGTAGTGACTCTCATGCCCTTTTGAAAGAAGAACGGAGGTATGACGTTCCCCTCGCTGGAGATGACGCCAATGGCGGAGGAGAGAAACTTCGTATGCTTCACGGCGGGAACCTCCTCGATCTCTTCGCAGATCCACCTGTCGTTCTGCCTGTTGCTCGTTTGGTCCTGGATGAAATTCCTTTCATCAGAGAAGAACCTCAACATCCCGGGGGACCTGTGCTTTAGCTCGTTCAGCAAAGCCGCCACCTTGACCTTCTTCGGCTGCTTGGAGTCATTCATGATGAGCATGCGGTGAGGAGGAGTAACCAATGTCCTTCTTGATGGTTCGGTAGATCGACTGCTTGTGACAGCCCCTGTCAGCGGTGATCTTGGCGTAGCTCTGGCTTCCATCATTGTCGACTGTCTCCTTGACGGCGGCGACGAACTCGTCGGTCCAAACGGACCAAGAACAAACGTTGTGGGCCTTTCGTTTGGCAGTAAACTCGTCCTTGTTCTCCCAGGCCTTCTACTTGCCATCTCTTCTGCAGGCTTCTTCCCGACGTGAAAAGAAGGTACTACCGCTGCTCTGTGCTCATATTCCATCCTGGAAAAGAGTTGTGAGAAAAACGTTACCTCGTTGTCAAAATGTCGGGTCTCTGCATATACAACTTTTTTTATTGCCTATATCGTTTTCTTTTTGTCAAGTGTCGGATTTTGCTATTACTCTCTCTCTCTCTCTCTCTCTCTCTCTCTATATATATATATATATATATATATATAGTAAAAAGGCTTAAACACTAATATTCCATGGTCATAATTTATTCCATTGGAATCGTAAATATTCGTCCCACACTCTCATACTTAGACTCTCTCTAAATTCTATTTTTATTTCCGGGGTCGTTTTTTCTGTTTCCTTTTTGAATTTATAGATCTGATGAATTGGATCGTATTTACGATTCCAATGGAATAAATTATGACCATGGAATATGAGTGTTTAAGGCTTTTTTATTATATCCTTACTCTGTCCTGGATATTGAGTTCTACCTGGATTCTATCCTCTTGGAATTTTTTATTAAAAAAATATATATGTATGTGTATGCATCTATGTATATATATTTATATATTTTGCATATGTATGTGTATATTTACCACTAATATATATATATATATATATATATATATATATATTGATGTTAACCATGTGTATTATGTTTTTATTATTTGTTTGCTCTTTTAGAAATCTGATGTTTCCACTGTGACTGTCATTAATGCAGTGTATATATTAAAAAGAGAGCGATTTAAAATATATGTTTAACCAATTTGGTTACTACATGATAATTTATATAAAAACGTTTCTCGTATAGGTACAGATACGGATACTTATTGGACTTAAATCTGTGAACTTTAACCTTAGCAGAGATATACTAGATAGTTAATTCGGATCCTATTAACTTTACTTAGTTTTTAAAGTCATCCGAAGTAGGTGCCCTTCGTAGTACAGTTAAGTGAACTTAATTTCTTTTAAGTTCTAAAAATTGTTTAGAAAGGGACGTCCTATTTCTGTACGCTTTATTCAAAGAAAGATAATACATGTTGTACTACCTAATTTTAAAGTGATTATTGGTACTCCTGATATAAAATTTTTTAACTGATGGATTTCTATAGTAGATATAGTGCTTAGTTGTATAAATAAAGCAAATTTTAAACAATATGCATACCCGATGACCCCTGCAAATGTATACATACTTTGAATGATTATAAAGTCAGTGTTTATTACAATCCATTTCATTTTCGAAATTTAATAGAATCTACAGACAGGATTTAATTCTTTTTGTCAACGCCTGATGACACTTATGGCTCAGGCACTTTTGATAGCGTGAAACATTTGACACGAAAATATTAAACACTAAGAATATGACTCGAAAACGTTCTTCAGTGCGAATCATCTTCATCGGTTGCATGGACTATGGGAGCTCTAATCTGTCTGCAGAGAGACTTTGTAATCTGCCGGCGCGTGGAATTGTCTTATAGCTTAATAGTAATCTTGGTAACTAACTCCATATTATCATTAGATGGGTAAAATGCTTTTAGTCCCTTTTTCACAGTCTGCACCATTCTTTCTGCAATTCTACCCGATTATGGATAGTAGGGTGGTGTTTTATACAGTGTGCATTCAATATGCTCTGGTGCCCTATTTGAGACCAAAATTTTAGGCACCCCATTTCTTGAAAATATTGTTTTTAATATTTGTTTTACAGTGGTGGCTTTTCTGTCAGCAACCTTAATTACTTTGGGCTATCCTGAAAATGAATCCACTAAAATTAAAAATAGCCCAATTCCTTTAATATGGGCATGATCCATGTGTACCTAAGCCTATGGTTCTTTTTCTTTAGGCCATGAGTGAATTTTGTTTTGCTGAAAGTTTTTTATTTTTTTATTTCAGCACACTTTGGGCACCTTTTTACATAGTCTTCCACATCTCAAGTATAACCTGGCTGCCACACTTGTAATTTCAATCTCATTTGTGTCACAGTTATACCACAATGTACATCATTGTGTACACCTTTTAGTACTTCTTTTCTTAAAATTTGTGGGGGTATTTTAATATCTCCATTGTATATTATGCCTTTCTCTGCAGTTATGCCTTGATTCTTTGAAGGGTCTTTCTGCCATTGAAAAAATGGTTCATGTGTTTATTTTTATTCTGTCTGAAATTCTACTTAACACTAGATCTTGTATGGTTTCCATTCTGAGACAATTTAGGGGTAACATGTCCGTTTCAACCCAGTGCAGTATTTTATCTTCAGAATTTTTAGACGTTTCTAATTTTTGACTGTCAAACTTTAGTCTGGATAGCACATCCACGTGTGGAATGGTGTTTCCTTTTGTGCATATGATCTCGAAATCAAAGGCCACGAGTTTTATAGCCCATCTTAAAATTCTAGATGTGAATTTTGACAATTTCTTCATGGGGTTAAATATAAACTCTAAAAGTTTGTAATCTGATTTTAACGAAAACTTTCGGGTTCTTTCTGTGCTTCATACTACTGCTAACTTTTCTTTCTCAATATTTGAACTGTCAGTTTCAGCTGACCTTAGATTTTCTCGACAGGTACATTATTGGATGACCTTTTTGAGATAAAATTGCGGCTACTTGAATTCGTAGTCAATGTAACTTCTTATTTTAGGTCAATTGTTTTTGCAATCGGTTTTCTTATTAGGGCATTTTTAAGCTTTCAACAGCTAAATTTTGACTTTGAGTCCATTTAAATTCTCTATTCTTTTTCCTTAATTCTGCAAATGTTTGTAGCCGAAGATCAAAAATTTGATTCGATATAATCTTTCTACATTATGTCCGCGGAAAAAAAACCTTAGCCTGGGAGGGCGTAATGAATGACTGTTTTGGTGGTCAGCATCAGCCATGCTGTCTATATTTCTGAGATGAGGTATTATGTACACCATTTACATTATTCGGACTATTGTCCTCATCTTTTTTGCCATATTTATCGCAACGTTTCAGCCGTTGTACGCTCCTGCCTTCTTCAGGTGGTTGGACTCTCGAACTGAACCCTTTATTTCGCTCGCTGGCGTAGTCTGTTCTAGTTAGACGTGCCATGTCTAATGGATATCAATTATCAGTTATCTTTTGTTAGACATGGCTGAATTGGCGTCACAATCTAAGCCGTTAGTGCACGGTCGTAAGGTGAATTTAAGCGTATTTATTTTTAGATAAACACGTCAGTGACTGAGAGAACTCGATTCGTTTTATCGTTGATTATTGCAATAGTATATATTTGATTTCGTCGTCAATTTGAATATTTAATATATTTAATTTATTTAATATTTAATTTAAACCGTTAATCTTTGAAAGTCAATAAACATTAATCATTCTTAATTCTGACCATTAATCTTGTCTGCAAGTCAATAAATACTGCATTTATTGACATTTAGAGAGTAAGGGCGAGAGAGAAAGATGCAACAGACTCATGAAATCATGATAAATACATATTATATATAAAAAACATAATGGTTATCTATTTTATCTTCCGAATGCATATATATATATATATATATATCGTATTACTGTTCAAGTAAATTGAATTGAGTTCTCCAAACCGCTGGCGTATTTCGTATAGAGAAAAACGTTAACATTTCCTTCCTTTCTGCCTTACGGCGATGTCCTAGGGGTAATATAGCTGACGGATGTCAAATCAGTCGGGTTTCGATGCCGGCTTGAAGCAATCGGACGTCTAGCTGTGAAGCTGTCATACAGCGAAACAGTCTGTCTGTGAAGGAATATATATATATATATATATATATATATATTTGATTGCCTTATCTATTGATGTAGTCCAATTTCGTTGCATGACTGTACACTTGAAAAAAGAATCAATGTCAGCAGCAGATTCAAGGATCTATATAGTCAAAAAGTAAAGAACAACTTCTCAACCCTACCTTTTTCCCCTCTCAGATTATTACTAATACCTAAAATGGAATTGCAAATATGAAATGAGCTTTTCTTTTCACAAACTTTTGTTTGCTTTTTGCTAGGACCTGGAAAACATTATCGTGAAATCGAATCAGAAACGTAGCCATATTTGTCAGTGGAAGTTGCTTTATAATATTCACTTTCCATCATTCCGTCTTTCAGCAAGTATTTTTATTTATTTATTCTTACTTTATATTTTTGTGTACTATTTTCGCCTCTTTTCTTTTTACTTCCACTTTTTGATATAGCTTTTCAACCCTAACCCACACCCCTTTTTATTACAAACATCCATCGATTTCTTAATGACTCTTCTTATATTGCGAAGAAATTGGAGACAGCTACCGAATAGCTTCTCTCTTCACTTGCTACGTGACTTGGCATAGAATTTACAAGATACTGAAGTTGCGTGTATCCGTCTACCCAGGAACCTTATAGGATTGTCCATAACTGTGTTGCTTTTGTCGGGTGTCACTGCAGTAAATTTAGCGTCGTCTGCAACATGTTCCATAATTATTCTTCTGTCGAAATAACTCGGACATCCGTTACGGCAATCATGATGGCCCGGCATCAAGGTCGGTAGGTCATTAGAGTAGCATTCTCTGTGAGTAATATATTTGGTCAATATAGGTGATTGCTGGGTGACTAACCAGATTTGTGCTATGCCTGTAAGTTCAAAACTGTAGATCTTGTTTTTCTCGCCAGCAGTGCCCAGGAAAGCGCAATTTGCGTTAACGTAAGATTGTGGAAATATCAGGGATGGTTACATAAGAGTGATTTAGTTGGATATTGTCTCCAACAGAGGATAAGTATAGGTGACAGCCTCAGAGTGTAGGTTCCATCAAGCTTAGACTCAAGGGTTTCAGTAAATGTCCAAGTAATGGCGCCAGACATTTAAAACGTTCTCGAGATTGGCGCGAAAGAATATCCATTTGAGGTTGTCTGATAGATCAGATTTTCAGATCACATCCATTTTATTTAAGGCGTCCAGGCTTTAGATAAGCAGATTTTCACATTCTTTTCAGTAGAATTTATTTTGGTTCTAGTCATGATTCGACAGATTCTATTAATTCTCCTGAAACTGTTTGTATTAATCCTTGCTGGTTGAAGATTATGA